AGCAGGTGTTTGCCCTGGCAGAACCCAAGAGGAAGCCCTCGCTCTTCTGGCACACGTTCAACAAACTCACCCCTTTCAAGAAGTGAAAACGGAAGGCCGCGCCTCTGCTGCGGCGTCCGCAAAGAGGAGAACCAGTTTTGTTTCTCGCGTGCTGACCCCAGTGCTGAAAACTTGTTTCGGGGGATCCGTGCAGAACAGAAGGGCGCAGACGCACCTCAGCGTTCAGAGGCCCGGCTCCCCCCTGGGAGGGAGGCGGAGGTCGTGAGGCGCGGCCCCGATGTCCACGAGACCCCTCCGTGATCCGTGCCGAGCCGGCCGGGCCGTGGGGACCAGCGACGACCTCAGGGAAGCCGAGCGGTGACCCCAGCGGGCATCGCCATGACGGGCACGCACAGTGCTGCCCTTCCTGAGGACGGGCCGGATCGCACTGTCACCGTTGCACGTGGGTTCCAGGGGGACGGTAGCGATGGGGTTGGTGCGAAGGTGTCTCGCCAGCAGCGGTAAGCTCTGCCTCTCTTCCAGTGTTAGGGGACTTCCCGCCACAGCGCACGTGGCCATCATCTCCCCTGGTGTCCGCTGAATTGTTGCCAAATAGTAGCGCAGGCTGCCTCTTGCCAGATGCGTCCCCCACAGGCTGGAGGGGCGAGCGCCGTGAATCCCTCACGCGGAGGGCAGTCGGGGTCACTGAAGCCTCCTGAAGCTGCCGCTGCTTACGGGAGAGAGTGCCGCGTCCCGCCGCGGGCTGGTGTCATCCTCGGCCCCCCCCCCGCGGGCAGCCTCCTGCCGGAGCGCGGCGGAAGTCACACGCTGTGACCTAACAGACTAATCGGACGCACCTGTTTGCGATATGAAACCCCACCTGCTCTAATTTTACGATAAATTAAATAACGCACCTGCAGCCGTTGCAAGGCGTTCTTAGAACATCCGAGGTTTTCCCGTCAGTTGTTGTGGCGTCCCCGCCGATCCTGTGACGGCGACCCGAACGGTCCGCGGGGCCAGCCCCGGCCTTACTGTGCTGTCAGGAGGGTTCCGGAGATCCGTTCCGTAAGAATGAACGAAAAGTACGCGTCGCCCCAGACACGGCCGTCCTCTGTCCCGGGGGCCACGTGGGCCGATGCCTGTCGGTCGCAATCTCCTTGTCTTCGCCCGCGTTGTAAACCCGGACGGAAAGAACTCGGACAGACGGGCTTCGCGAGGGCGACGCCGTTGAAACGCACCCGGGGCGCCGGACGGGGCAGCGCGGGAGACGCCCGTCGCTTCTGCTGGAGAAGCCCTTGCCGTGTGCTCCCCGGCGGCCGTGCTTGACGAGAAACCGGAGCGCCGTAGCCAGAGGGGTAGCCGTGCCTCCGGGGGCCCGGTCCCCTCCTTTCTCCCCCACCTCCCCTCCGCCCGGGGCCGGCCCCAGAGGCGGTGACGTCACGCGTCGAGAAGACCAGACCCTGCGCGTGGAGCGCGCCTCGGAGCACCGTCTGGAAGTCGGACCCGTCCCGACCCCGCCCCGCCGCGTCGAGGCGCTCGCCCGCGTGTCGTGTCGCCGCGAGCCGGGACTGCCCTGTGGCCGGCCGCCCGGGGCGGCTTCCGGGGCCCTTAACGCCCCGGGTCCCGGGGGGACGGCGGCGGCCGTGAGGGGGCTGCTCGGGAGGCGCCGTGGCTCTGCGGCCGGGCGAGTGCGTGCGTGCGCCGTTTCGGGTCTGAGGAGAACGCCCCCTTTTAGTTGCGTTCGTGTAACTGACCCTTCTCCTAACAAAACGCAATGATAGATTTCGAAAACCACACTTAACGTGCTTTTTGTGGGCCCCTTAGTAATAGCCGTGGGAGTCTCTGTGCTCAACGGAGTCGTTAGTCTACACGACAGTTTTGGACAGTTGTTTGTTTTTTTTTTTTTTAATCTAAGAAAATTGCTTTAGGGAAGAAAAGAGAAACATTTGCTTATGTCACATTTTCGATGAGGATTGAATTCAACCGAAGAGCCACTTCAGGGCTCCCATTTACTGATATTAATGCGCAGTGAGGAGGGGCTTAAATTCTGTGACCAGGGTTGATTTCCCGGCCCAGCCCCAGCTTCTGGGTGCCACCTGTCCCTCCGTGGATTCTCTAACAGAAGAAGGAAGCTCGGACCCCAGGGCCTTTACGAGGCTGCCCCGTGAACTTGGGACAGTGTGGAGACTCACACGATCAAATCTCCACCCTGAGTGCATACTGCTTGAAATCTTAGGCGATTTTGAAAACTGAGACTTTTTTTTTTAAGGTAGAATGCCTTTGACGTCTTTAAATCTGTTTGTCTAGCTTGAGTTCTTTTTTTTTTTTTTTTTCCTTACCAAACGCCTGAGTTCTATAAAGAATACGTGGCTCAAGTATTGTAATCGTAGGTTTGCCAAACTTTCCTCCTTAATTTAAGCCACGTGTTCCTCTTGAGAAGAAAAAGAGAAGCCAAGAGCCTCCTGTGTGGATTCTGTATGTTTGGGAGTCTTGCTTTTCCCTGTTTGTCTCATTTTAACCCCCCCTTGCATACTCTGGATGCCCCCAACCTCCCCCCCCCCCACACTCACACACAATCACAAAGATGGCACAACACTTTGACAAATTTCACTTACTCTATTATTTATATTTCAGAATTTGCCAACTCTTTTGGAAGACCACTCAAATGACCGTGAGTCAAAAGCAGCCTTCTCAGTTTTAATCCTTCCAAAAACGCACAACCACCTTGCAGTAAATCGTAAACCATCATAAAATGGGACATTTGTAAAATCCTAGAGAAACACCATTCTGGATCTTTGGCCCACAGATAAGAAAAAGGACGCCAGCAATGTGCTAGAGCTTCCGCGGGGTCCCTTCTTCATAGTGTGATTTTCAGTAGATCTCCTCTTTTCCCCGGTAGATCTGAGGTGGTTGTTGAAAACATTTCACCCCCGGGCTCCGTGCTGTTTCTGAATATTGTTGTGCCTTTTTATACCTAGTCCAGACAAAGACCAACTCCAAGCCTGTTCAGAAAATCCCCTCGATCCTACGTTGCCGTTGTCTAGACACAAAACAAAAGTGCATTTAATTCAGACTTTGTTTCACGGTGGAAATCTTTTCGTAAAAGCCACAATCCAGCATCTGTAAGTTGGAAATAAATCTCTACGTGCCCCAATTGCTGGTCTTTCTCAACACAGATAAGTCCACTTATTTCCCCGAATAGAGCAGCCCGAGTACCTGGAGTCAGGAAGAAGCGTGCTGTGTGGTCGTTTCATGGAAGAGAGCAGAAACACATGTGTCCCTCACAGGCCAGCGGTGACAAGTGTGGGTAAATGTCCCTTTGATGGCTGACAGGCCAGGGATGCTGGACACAGATCGGCGAGGTCAAACCGCTCAAAAGCAGGTGTCCCTGTAATAAGCTTACCCTACAAATGTCCTTGTCAGAATTCCACTCGGCTGATGCTGTTATCTCAGGATGCGCGCCGCGGAAGTAGAGTTCAAATGGCTTTGAATAGAATAAGCAGCCAACTGTCTGATCTTGAAAAGAGAAACCCAGAAGCTTAGATATTTGATGCAAATATACTTAGCTGCAACACGCTTAACTTTATTGTCTTAGTTATGTCATAGGCATCAACCTTTATATTTAGAAAGTCCTTTAACTGATTCTGTAATTTAATAATTGGTCTCTTTTGTAAATATTAGCATCAGTTGTGTTTACCCATTTTGCAAACTTTTAGTAACCCTTTCCTTGATTTTTAACTCATCAACATCAAGACAATGTTGTTAAGCCAAGTGACCGCTTCGAAACTGATGAATTAGCTGTTGACAGCTCAACTATGTTGTACCAGACTGCTGTAACTTGATACGTATTTCTGTTGAATGAAGTTTTTGTAAAAACGAAAAAAAAGATATTATTTACAATGTTATTTGAATGATTTCTTGTAAATGCTGTGAATCTATATTTGTTGTTTTGTATCTGTATATTAAAGTTAATTTGCCAAACTGGTTCCAGTAATGCATTTGAGTAGTAAAATAAGACTGTGTGTGTGTGTGTGTGGTGTTTAAATTTATTTTTTTAATAGAAAGTGAGTGCTAGGAGGGTTTCTGGATCTACAGCTCATTTCCTGACTGGACAGTGATAGACTTCCTGTCAGTAAAAATTCATCCCTGAATGATCAGGCTTAAACCACTAGACAAGTGTGAGAGAAGGGGTCCCCAGGGGAACAGGGAGGAGCCGCTCGACTGAAGAAAGTCCGCACATGTTGGAATAAGCCTGGTAAAGCCACACCCAGAGTGAAAAGGCCTTCTCTGTAGGAGCAGCTCTTGGATGGACGGTAGATGAGCCGCACAGGCCTTTACAAGCCTTTCGCCTTTCGTTCCGGGTGGAGATCCAGCCGCTTCACCAGGAGATCCGCAGCTTACCCTCTGGGGGCGGGGAACATGCCTGAATTTCCTTCTCTAATTAACACTCAGAGAAGTGAAGTAAATAGCCCATTGTTTGCAGTGAAAAGTATCCCCCGTGAGGGTTGCCAGGCAGCCCGTCCCCACTGTTTACTCCTAACCTCCACCTCCTTCCCAAACTGCTCTCTCCCTTCCCTTGGGCTGCCCTGGAAGAGGGGGTAGCTTAGGGGCAGGGGACGGGGGAAGGTGAACACTGGGAATCTGAAAGGCCTCCCCGGGGAGGCTCCCAGGGACCCAGCCGGTGCCATATGTAGGAACTGGTAAAAAGAGGGCGGTGGGGGCTTTGCTAGAAGGGCTGAGGGGTAGCCGACCTCGGTGGAGCACACAGCCTGCCTTGTGCAGCGGAGAGGCGAGCTGAGCTGGGTAATCCTCCCAGGGAGCGTCTGGTCGAAGCGGGGAGACAGGCACATGGAGTTGTGATGAAAGCTCATGGTGAAGTAAAGTGTGCAGCGACGGTGGGGGGGGGGGGGTGTTCAAGTCGCGGCCTTCGGGTAACGGAGTCCTTCCCTCTGGCGAGTGGCCGGGCGGGAAGGGGGCCCGGGAGGCAAGGCCCAGGCAGCATCCCGGAGGGCCCCCCCAGCCCCGAAGAGCCTGGGTGTGTGGCTTGAATCCAACTGACGGGCCGCGCGAGAAACCGAAGGGGTCGAAGCCGGCTCCCGAAGGACCTGCCAACCGGCGTGAGGTCCTGGGATTTGGTTTCGTGGCCGAAGAATGGAAGGCGAGGAAATTGTGTGGGATTTCGGCTCGTGTGGGATTTGCTCAGCTCGTCCCGGGGACGGGGAAAAGGGTGGATTTCGCAGCAGGCCAGGGGTGACCTGGGAGACCGTGTCCAGCAGCGGAGACGCTGGAGAAGAGGGCGAGGCTGGGCACAGGTGAAGGATGCTCAGCCGTGAGCCCGTCACGCAGCTGTGGAGACGAGACGCGGTTTCCGGGTCCTGCCCCGGGGTGATGGCCGGGTGCTGGTGCCACCGACGGACGCAGAGAAGAGAGGCCGGGTTGGCGGGGGGCCCGTGTGACTTTCTGGTCTACCCGCTGGCCGCTGCGGCTCCAGAGAGAGGTGAGAGCGGGAGGTGCGGGTGGGAGGGAAGCCGAGAGCGGACGGCCCAAGGAGGGGGTCGGCCCTGGATCGCCCCCGGAGCGTGAACCGGCAGAGGAAGAGGACGGGGGAGGAGACAGGGATGGAGAAGGGGAAGACCAGGGTGACACCGGGTGGGGGAGGGGCAGCCACAGCAGGAGGGAGGAGTTGTCCCCGGGGTCAACGCTCGGGCTGCCCCCCTCCCACTAAGAAGTGACCGGAGGTGTCTGGGTGCGTTTACGGGTCAGGAGTTCAGGCTACGGGACGACGGAAGAGAAAGCAGATTAGCTTCGGTCGCCAAACGAAATCCCGCCCTGCCCTGTGAGGCTGTCCCTGCGGTACAGACGAGGAACGGACGCCGGGCGAGTGGAGAGGGTGTTACTTCTGTCCGATGGGACTTGCCCAGCCCGCATCCCCCGTTCTCTGTGTGGCCTCTGCCGTCCAGCTAGGTTGTCCGAGTTGGTTCTCAACAGCCTCTGAAAAACAGCGTTGTGTACGTTTGTCCTCCTGAGGCTATTTTTCAGTTAGAGATCCGTGTTAATGAACTCTGATGGGGCAAAATGAAACGTTAATGATTACGTGGCGTCCGAAAAATAGTCGCACCGTGCCTCTTTCAGTGGCAGGTGGTGTGTGTGTGAAGAGAACACGCGTTAAATACCAAGGTACACACGGTGTCTACAATCACAGGACCCACGCAGAAGTTTGAGAGATCTCGTTAAATGAAGTCCCTTCCAGGGATCTGGAACCTCAGTAATCTGTCGTCCTGTTGGCCCGCAATCGGCCCAAGGTCGGCGGGGAGGCGGCCAAAGCAAAGGCATAAACGTCACTTTAAGGAAAGACACCGGCTGTGGGGATTCCTTCTTCCAGACTCGGAAGTGTACCTCGCTTTCTCTCCCTTGATTAAAAAGGACAGGGGGGTAAAGAGCCGAGTCTCCTGAACAGATAGTGCTAGAAGATGCTACCTGACTCCAGTCTGGCTGCAAGTTTTGAAGCTCTTCCAAAACATCTTGTGCCTTACTCGGTTCCCTCCCCTTCCTGCTGTTTTGCAGATACATCCACTAGGGAATTATGTGGCAGGAAGGCGTGATTTTATTTAGTGAGCCCTTGATTCCTGGTTTGTGCAGCACCTGCAAGCAGCCCGTGGCCCTGGGGTTCAGGTAAGTGCGTTAGGAAACCGCTGCTTTGGTTTTGATTTAAGGCATGGGAGTCCTAAAGCAGCTCTTAATCCGTGTGTGACGATCGTGCTTAGTTATTGGCGAGGTAGGCAGCTGTCTGCCGAGTTTTGGGTAGGAAAGGAGCAGGCTGGTTTCAGAATTCATTCTTGCGGAAGAGGTGAACAGGAGACAAAAGCAGATCTTGAGGTTCTTCCAGAACCCTGCAAACTGGCCGGGAGGAGGGATGAAGCTACAGGAGAAGGCGTAAGAGTAGACCCTCCCCGAGAGCTTTCTAGAGGAGCTCGTAGATTATTTGGCACAAATTTGAGCGTGTGCATGTTTATACGGATGGCCGTGCTTCGTCACGTACACGGCGTAGCTTGAAAACAAGCCCCTCAACATACGTTAAAGAAGAAATACAATGTGCAGGGCATGTGGAAGAAAAGGTACTCGATGAGCGACAGTCTTTTGATTTTTAGGTTCATGAAGTGTCAAGTCGGGGAGGGGTGTTCGGGGTTGTTTCTTCTCTCGCGTGTTACACGCAAGAAGCAGAGCAGAAGCTCGGAGGCTGGGAGACCCACTGTGCGCCGCTCAGCTCGATTCTGACAGGTCTTTTATTAAACCGAGTGACCTTAACCAGAAGTTCAGTAGTGAAGGCACCGTGTCGGTCAGGCAAAGGAGAAACAACCCGGAAACCCAGTCAGGACCTGTTGCGGGGGGGGGGGGGGGGGGTAAAAAAACCGTAAGCACAAAAGTCTTTTGCGGTCTGTGTCCCTCTGCCCACCGCCCACCCCCGGGCAGTGTGTCAGGTCTAGGAGATCACAGCAGAATCCCAGGGTCCTCGGCCCCGCGGGTTGGGCGTTCGGTGGGAGGGTCGCGTCTGTTCCCTGTGATTCACATGGATCCGGCTCAGCCAGGACCGTGGTCGCTTGTTTAATCTATCGCCTGGAGGGCTGCATATCCAGCGAGTGCTCAGCAACTCTGAGGATCGGGCCCACGACACATGGCCACCGACCTTCCTCGCTGGGATGAATGCTCACCCCTGTGGCAGCAGGTGCCTCGCGTTAGTCAAGACGTGGGCTTAGCAGTAGGGAGGGAGACCCCAAATAACAGTGGCTCCAGCAGGCTTGTGATGTACTTCCCTCTCGTGTCAGAGACGGGCCGGCGGGGCGGGTCTGGTCTGGGTGGCCGTCAGGGACCAGAGATTTTCTATCCCCGAAGGGTGGCTCTCCTTCAAGGAGTCCCAAGACGTCTCACCACCCCCCCTACCCACCCACGCACACCCCAGCCGCAGGGAGGGGCAAGGGGCCCGGGGAGGGTGGAGCAGCCCTCCGCCCCGTGAAGCCTGTGGTCCTTGCACAGATCCCTCTTGTTCGTTCCCACCGGCCAGAATCCAGTTTCCTCGTATTTTCCAGGCCTCTGCAAGGGAGGCTGGGAAATGTCCACTGCGGGCAGCCACATGCCGCCTCGAATTTCTATTACGGGGAGCAAGGGGAGGAGGGGGGGGGTTGGAGAAACTAGTGATCTCCACCGAAGGCGTCGACAGGGATTAGGTTTAATACCGAGCCACACCCCCAAAGGCTGCGTCGCGCACATTTGGAGCCAGGATATTTCTTTCGAAAGTTCTTTTTTTCTCTCTCTTTTTAAATCATTCAACAAATAATTGTTGGTGATGTACTGAAAATAAGCAAGCAGAAAGATGCAGTGGCTGTCCTTATAACCTAGGGTGGCGCCTAATAAGTGCTCCCTAGCCTAGGTGCAGTGTGGAGATGGGGTGGGGGTGGCAGTGATCCAGGTGAGAGGAGGGAGGGGGAGGGGGGGGGAAGGACGGGAGAGAAGCGTTCCTAGCTCTCGCGCATTCTGGAGAAACACGTAGAGGAATTAAAAGGTGCATCAATTCCACGACACACAGTGCAATTAAATTGAGTGCATCACTTGTGGGCTGAACTAACGAAACTGAGGATCCAATTTATGGCTTTGTTTTTTTAATTTTTTTTTTCAACGTTTATCTATCTCTGGGACAGAGAGAGACAGAGCATGAACGGGGGAGGGGCAGAGAGAGAGGGAGACACAGAATCGGAAACAGGCTCCAGGCTCCGAGCCATCAGCCCAGAGCCCGACGCGGGGCTCGAACTCCCGGACCGAGAGATCACGAGATCCCGCGAGATCGCGAGATCGTGACCCGGCTGAAGTCGGACGCTTAACCGACTGCGCCACCCAGGCGCCCCTCCAATTTATGGCTTTGCAAGAAGCACAAACACAACTTTTTATTTTTACAAATGACGTATTAATATAACGTCTACTGTATTCCTTGTGCAAACCCTCACGTCCCTCTTCTCAATTTTCGTATTAAAGATAGTGCCATAGCTTATTTCCCTGCTTATTTGGGAGCAGAGCATATTTGGTTATTCACAGTCATCTGTTGAAGGTTGTCTGTGTGCTAGGGTTGAGGTCTAAGCAAGTGCTCAAAACCAGAGAAATAAATGACAGGGGGGGCTGGGTGGCGCAGTCGGTTAAGCGTCCGACTTCAGCCAGGTCACAATCTCACGGTCCGTGAGTTCGAGCCCCGCATCGGGCTCTGGGCTGATGGCTCGGAGCCTGGAGCCTGTTTCCGATTCTGTGTCTCCCTCTCTCTCTGCCCCTCCCCCGTTCATGCTCTGTCTCTCTCTGTCCCAAAAATAAATAAAAAACGTTGAAAAAAAATTAAAAAAAAATTACGGAAGGATAGATGTTAGCTCTTCCCTAGCTGGAGGACAAAATGGAATTTAACCCAATTTGATACCTTTATGATCTTGAGATCTTTTTATTATTGAAATAATTGTAATACATTTTGAAAAAATTTGAAAGGAAAAATATAGACCCTTTAGCAGAGGTTGGTCTGTGCCATTTCGATTCAACTATGACCAGTCACTTCTGAGTTAAACAAAAGAGGATGGTGTAGATTATTTATGGAATTTGGCTCTAAGAAAACAATTCAATTTCCTGAAATGGTGTAAGTTTGTGACTTCAAAAGGAAACATCTGTATTTTCTTGTCTAAAAATACTTTGCCATCAAACTGGACGCTGTGATATTTAGAAGTTTCCATAAGATGGCGATATAATCCTAGACAAGTCTAGCTGGTTTTACTATTTATCTAGAAATATTTTAATAGACACTGTAAAAAAGCATTTTTTAAAAAGGAAAAACCCTCATAACCCTGCTATTCTAAAGCAGCCATATTCATTTGGATATATTTGGTCCTAGTTTTTGTCGATATGCATATAGAATTACATGGGTACCTATGTAATTCATAATGCACGTGCCATTTTATTCTACTTTTTATTTTATTTTTTTTCAACGTTTTTTATTTATTTTTGGGACAGAGAGAGACAGAGCATGAACGGGGGAGGGGCAGAGAGAGAGGGAGACACAGAATTGGAAACAGGCTCCAGGCTCCGAGCCATCAGCCCAGAGCCCGACGCGGGGCTCGAACTCACGGACCGCGAGATCGTGACCTGGCTGAAGTCGGACGCTTAACTGACTGCGCCACCCAGGCGCCCCTATTCTACTTTTTAAAAATTCAACATCAGGGTGCCTGGGTGGCTCAGTCGGTTAAGTATCCGACTTCAGCTCAGGTCACAATCTCGCATTTTGTGAGTTCGAGCCCCGCGTCGGGCTCTGTGCTGACAGCTGGGAGCCTGGAGCCAGCTTCAGACTCTGTGTCTCCCTCCCTCTCTGCCCCTCCCCTGCTCATGCTCGCGCGCGCGCGCGCGCTCTCTCTCTCTCTGAAAAATAAATTTAAAAAAATTTTTTTAATTAAACACAACATATATCTTTCACATATTTTATTTCTACATGACCTACATAATTATTTCAGGGGCTGCATAATATTATACCCAAGCAGCACGGATGGAAGCACATTATGCAGTACACACTTTTGCACTATGACAGATAATGTCATGGCTAATATGTTTGGCAAACAAATGTTGGATTATTAAGAATTTTCGGCACGAGATCACTAAGTTTAAGATATGAACGTCTTTTTATCTGAAAGGTTGTGCGGATGGACGTCGCCTTCAGTGCTGTATAAGGGTCTGGGTTCTGACTTGCTTCACTAGCCTCATGTTATTATTTTCTTCTCCAAATTTTAATTTAAAGTATGTTAGTTAACATATGGTGTCATAGTGGCGATTCAACACTTACATACAACACCCAGTGCTCATCATCACAAGTGCCCCCCAATACCCATCGCCCACCTAGCCTATCTCCCTCCTTCCTCCCTCCAGCAACGCTCAGTTTGTTCTCTATCATTAAGTGTCTCTTACGGTTTGCTTCCCTCTCTTTTCTTTCTCCCCCTTCCTATATGTCCATCTGGTTTGTTTCCTAATTCCAATGAGTGAAACCGTATGGGTTTTATCTTTCTCTGACTTATTTGGCTTAGCATAATATCTTCTAGCTCCATCCATGTCATTGCAAACAGCAAGATTTCATTTTTTGATGGCTGAGTAATATTCCATCGTGTGTGTGTGTGTGTGTGTGTGTGTGTGTGTGTATCTCGCATCTTTTTTAATTAAAAAAATTGTTTATGTTTACTTTTGAGAGAAAGACACAGAACGTGAGTAGGAGAGGGGCAGAGAGAGAGAGAGGGAGACACAGAATCCTAAGCGGGCTCCAGGCTCTGAGCCATCAGCACTGAGCCCGGCGTGGGGATTGAACCCACGAACCATGCGATCATGGTGTGAGCTGAAGTCGGACACTTAACCGACTGAGCCACCCAGGTGCCCCTATACCACATCTTCTTTACCTGTTCATCAGTTGAGGGACACTTGGGTTCTTTCCATTAATTTGACTATTGTTGATAGTGCTGCTATAAACATCCGGGTGCGTGTGCCCCCTTGAATCTGTATTTTTTTATCCTTCGGGTAAATACCTAGTAGTCCAGTTGCTGGATCGTAGGGTAGTTCTATTTGTAACTTTTTCAGGAAACTCCATACTGTTTTCCAGCGTGGCTGCACCAGTTTGTATTCCCACCAATGGTGTAAGAGGGTTACACCCCTTCTCCACATCCTTGCCAACATTTGTTGTTTCCTGTGTTGTTAATTTTAGCCGTTCTGACAGGTGTGAGGCGACGTCTCATCAGGATTTTGATTTGTATTCATGTGACGATGAGCGATGTTGAGCATCTTTTCATGTGTCTGTTACCATCTGAATATCTTCTTTGGAAAAATGTCTATTCGTGTCTTCTGCCCAGTTCTTCACTAGATTATTTGTTTTTTGGGTGTTGAGTTGGATGATTTCTTTATAGATTTTGGATACTAACCCTTTATCTGATATGTCACTTGCGGATATCTTCTCCCACTTCGTAGGCTGTCTTTTAGTTTTGCTGATTGTTTCCTTCACTGTGCAGAAGCTTTTTGTCTTGATAACGTCCCAATAGTTCATGTTTGCTTTTGTTTCCCTTGCCTCTGGTGACACGTCTAGTAAGAGGTCATAGAGGTTGCTGCCTGTGTTCTCCTCTAGGAGTTTGATGGTTTCTTGTCTCACATTTAGGTCTTGCGTACATTGTGAATTTATTTTTGTGTGTGGTGTAGGAAAGTGGTACGGTTTCATTCTTCTGCGTGTCGCTGTCCCGTTTTCCCAGCACCATCTGTTGAAAAGAGTGTCTTTTTTCCATTGGATATTCTTTCCTGCTTTGCCAAAGATTAGTTAACCGTATCATTGTGAGTCCATTTCTGGGCTTTTTATTCTGTCCCATTGATGTATGTCTGCTTTCATGCCATTACCATTACTGGCTTGATCACTACAGCTTTGTAATATGGTTTGAAGTCTGGAGTTGTGATGCCTCTGGCTTTGGTGTTCTTTTTCAGGATTGCTTTGGCAATTCGGGGTCTTTTGTGGTTCCATACAGATTTTAGGATTATGTGTTCTAGCTCTGTGAAAAATGCTGGTGGTATTTTGATAGGGATTGCATTGAATGTGTAGATTGCTTTGGGTAGCATTGACATTTTTTTTTTTTAATTTTTTTTTTCAACGTTTATTTATTTTTGGGACAGAGAGAGACAGAGCATGAACGGGGGAGGGGCAAAGAGAGAGGGAGACACAGAATCGGAAACAGGCTCCAGGCTCTGAGCCATCAGCCCAGAGCCCGACGCGGGGCTCGAACTCACGGACCGTGAGATCGTGACCTGGCTGAAGTCGGACGCTTAACCGACTGCGCCACCCAGGCGCCCCTAGCATTGACATTTTAACAATGTTTTTTCTTCCAATCCATGAGCACAGAATGTTTTTCCATTTCTTTGCATCTTCTTCAATTTCCTTCATAAGTTTTCTATAGTTTTCAGCATACAGATCTTTTACATCTTTGGTTAGGTTTATTCCTAGGTCTCTTATGAGTTTTGGTGCAATTACAAACACAATCGATGCCTCGGTTTCTTTTCCTCTGCTTCTTTATTGGTGTATAGAAATGCAACAGATTTCTCGACATTGATCTTATATCCTGTGACGTTGCTGAACTCATGTATTAGTTCTAGCAATTTTTTGGAGTTGGTGTTAAAGCACAGCCAAAACCCGGCACCCAAGGTTTGCCGCCCTCAGCTGGCATCTCTGTTCTTATGCCAGTGAATAGAGCGGCAGGCTGGTGCCCACGGGGTCTTTCTGTCCCAGGAGAGGCCAGTCCACCTCTCCCAAATGCACTTCAAGCCAGGGAACTGTCTCTCCTTGCGCAACCTGAGAGATCCTCAGACCATGCTGCCCGCTTCGGGTTGCCACACTCCACACTCCTTCCCCACTGGAGCACCGCCAGGCCCACCGGCGCAAAGCTGGTGATGGCACTGACCTGGGTAACTTCAGACTTTGCGCTCTGCGGCTCATAAAAGCTTGTGGTGGTTAGCCCCTCTTCTTTTCCCAGTGGTTTTGGGGAAGGTTTATTCCTCTGAGATCCCTTAGGTGCTCCTTCACTCTTTCTCTCTCCTTCTCCCTCTCTCTCTCACTCCTCTCTCTGTGATCAGGGCTCCCTCCCCTCCACAGCACACACGTTCTTTTCTCCCCCGAGGCCAACTCTCCGTGGCTCCCACCGTCCACACTGGGGTTGCTTTTCTAGCTCTAGCTGTGCAGCCCGGCCCTCTCAGTTCAGATCGGCTTCTCGTGTGTTCAAATGATTTGATATTCATCTAGCTGTGTTCGAATGTTCGAGGGATGAAGCGAGCTCAGGCTACTCCGCTGCCGTCTTAACCCGTCCTCTGTGTGACACGATTCTCAGGTTATTATTATTTTTATGTCCTAAAGTGTCTGCCATGGCACACGCATTTCAGTCAACGCATATTTATTCAACACAGTGCTGCAGGCTTAATACTGAGCACTAGGAGTACAGTAAGGAGAAAAATGCAGTCAGACTTCAGTCATACGGTGACGTAAGTAAGGGTAGCCCTGTACTACGGTGCCGTGAAAGAGAGACATCGGTGTGGTGCCCCCTTCCCGGGGAGATCTGATGTAGTCAAGAGCGTCCCACGAATCCTGTGTGCACACTGCCGTAGGGTCTTGCCTGTGTGTTCTCTCTGCCTAGAACACTTGGCCTGATTCGCTGCTCTGCTCCTTTAGATCTCATCGCAAACCTCACCACCTGGCGTGGCCTTCGCTCCTGATGGGGTTGGAAAGCAAATCAAAAACTCGCAGTGGGGCCTGAAGGTGTTATTCGCAAACTGCCTGTTCCTTGGTGTGTGTGTGTGTGTGTGTGTGTGTGTGTGCGCGTGCCCTTCACGGTGGTTTCCTGTAGAGTCAAAAATCTAACTCAAAGCATATGTCTCATCACAGTAGGACAGCGTGGAATGCTTTACTGTTTTTCATTCTGTTTATTTTTTATTGTAAAGTAAACATCGCATAAAACTTACCACTTTACCTGCTTTTAAGCGTCCAGTTCAGTGGCATGAAGTACGTTCACGTTGTTCGACTGTCTCCGCGGTCCGCTTTCAGAGATTTTCCATCTTCCCAACCCGAAACTCTGTCCCCGTTAGCTTCCCCTCCCCTTCCCCCAGCCGTTGGCTCCCACTGTTCTGCTTTGTGTCCCTGTGAATTCGACTACTCTAGGGCCCTCATACGAGTGAATCGGAGAGTATTGGTCCCGTCTGGCTTATTTCACGTCACACAATGTCTTTAAGGTTCATCCGTGTTGTAATATATGCGTCAGAACGTCCCTCCTTTTCGAGGCTGAGGAGCATCCCATCGTGTGTGTAAACACATCTTGTTCATTCACATGTCGGCGGCCGTGTGGGTTGTTCCCACCTTCGGGCTCCTGTGACTAAAGCTGGTGTGAACACGCGTGTCCAACTATGTCGGAGTCTCTGCTTCGAGCTCTTGTGTGTGTCCACCCCGAACTGGGGTTGCCGGATCAAATGCTAATTCTGTGTTTGCTTTACTGTTGAACATGTGCTTTTCATGCACTTTGTAGTCAACCTTGGTTGTTACAGCAGCGCCGAGAAGCGAGTATCATTCCCTTCTCTGGCTCCAAAAAGTGGTTTGCCCCAAGTGGAGCGGAATGGTAAATGCGAGTATTTGACTTGGAACTCGGCTTTCCCCTTGACCATTCGCCATTCAGAGTGGTCCCAGTCACGTGAGTTCCTTTCAAGAACGATGGCCTTCTGATTGTGAGAAGCTTCATCCACTAGCGGCTTCTGCCCTTACCGGTCTTGGCCATCCTGTCCGAGGTCGATCGGGAGTGGGCCCGTGCCCCACGGCAAGGAGCAGAGGCTGTGTCTGTGGCCCCAGAAACAAAGGCCTTTGCTTCTGGTCTGTGTTTCCCTCTCTCAGCTCAGCTCCATCATCTGAAACATGAGGACCTGGTTGCTTCTGCTCGCCGGCGGGATCTGCATGGGAAACGTGAACGCACAGGACACGTGCAGGCAGGGGCACCCTGGCGTCCCTGGGAATCCCGGTCACAATGGTTTGCCCGGGAGAGATGGACGAGATGGAGCAAAGGGCGACAAGGGAGAGGCAGGTACTCACCACTTGGTGGCCTCCAGCTACCCTTCCATGTACCCGTCCGTTCCTCTTATTCATTCATTCATTCATTCATTCATTCATCACCAGTGTAGTCATCACCTGCCCGCTCCCCCTCCTTCATTCATGCACCCCTTGCTCAGAAAGCAGTGACCGAGAGCCCGCTCCAGGCCAGATTCTGGGGTACCATGCAGGACAAGACCAACACGGCTCCCCCCTCCACCGGACGTTCTCATCTAGTGGGGACAACTGCTTTTGGGCCATCACCTCTGATACTACAGGCCGTCTTTAGAAGCACATGGTGTAGATCTTTCTGCCTCAGATGGCAGGTATGGTGGGTCTTTGGCCCTTGGAGCATATAGAGAAATCTGATCGCTAAATATTTAGCAGAGAGCGCCTGGCTGCGCTGCACGGGAGAGCTAGGGCCTTGCCACACGGTGAGGCAGGTGACATGGCGTGACAGAGAATACCACAGCAGATGGCCACTGAAGCCACACGGCGGGACTCAGGTGTTGGGACCTGCCCCAGGGTCTGGGGATCTGGGGTCAGGATGCAGCCTCTGGGAAGGAGACCTGCAAAAGCCAGGAAACGTGAGTGGATTCCATGACACCAACTGACAGGCTTGGTTCTTGAGCCTGGGTCTGACCGTAGGGTCACATACCTGAAACGTAAGCGGATTGGTCTATCTGGGTACAGGGGGAAAACATCAAAACTCCGATTGACATTCTAAAAGATAAATTTAGAGGGCGCCTGGGTGGCTCAGTCAGTTGAGCGTCCGACTTGGGCTCAGGTCATGATCTCACGGTTTGTGGGTTCAAGCCCCGCATCGGGCTCTGTGCTGACGGCTCGGAGCCTGGAGCCTGCTTCGGATTCTGTGTCTCCGTCTCTCTCTGCCCTTCCCCTGCTCACGCTCAGTCTCTCTCTCTTTCTCAAATATAAAACATTAAACAAAATTAAAAAAATAAAAGGTAAATTTTGATGAAAAAAATTGAGCTTTGAAAATATTTCCTATATGAATTGACTTGGGTGGCTTTGCGTGGTCCCTTTGGACAGGTCACGTGAAGCCGGAAGCATGTGCTGTGGGAGGAGCGAGAGCCCTCACACGTTCATCGTCCGTCCGTGTACTGTGGCGTGTTGTGGTTACGTGTGCCCAGCCCGAGGGACTTTCAAATTGTACTGTCGAACTCTCACGAACGGGTGGGCGCCCGAAATACTTCTGCAAAGAAATCGAAGATTGAAGGTCGACTTGATGAGGCAGACGTTCAAGAATCACACAAAAATAGCGCTGCCATTTCTCTTCTTAGCGTGACCTTTTCCAGTGCGTGTGAGTGGGAGAAAACAATGATGAACTAGTCAGACATCTGACAAGATGTCTGACAAAAACCTAGAGGTTTTTAAGACTTGGGACGTAGGGATATACATTTACATTCATTAGAATGAATCTCATCCCAATTATAAACTGTACCATGAGGTATCAGTCATTGATAGAAACACCCCAATTAAATTAGACATTTCAGGACTCTGTGGGGAACCTGAGCACAAACCATGGTCATTTTTCCTCCCTCTTGCTATTTCAGAATCCTGTCAGAAGATTAGATACTCCTCTGGCTATTTTAAAAACGGTTGAAATGATACACAGAAAGTAACTTCAGGATGAACTAAAAGGTGCTTTGCCAGCAAATGCTGTTGGAATATGGATTTTTTAAACGATTGTTGTATTTTAGAGGGTGGGGGGAGGGGCAGAGAGAGAGGGCGAGAGAATCCCAAGCAGGCTCCGTGCTGGCATGGGTGGGTGGCTCGATCTCACAATCGTGACCTGAGCTGAAAGCAAGAGTCAGTCGCTTAACCGACTGAGCCACCCGGGCCCCCCTGGAATATGGGTTTTTAAAAAGCCTTTGTTAAGTTTTGGAGAAATGAATATTAGAACAAATTACTTCGTATGGGGAGTCAGCTGTAGAGCTGAATGAAAGTCTTGGTGGTTTTAGGTGTTTCTGTGCTCCCGGCATTTGCTAATCCAGGGGATCTGTTGGGTGGGCTGGATGAAGCAGAGGGCCACCCGACATCTCTCCTGCCACTGCCCTGCAGACGGGCTCTGCGGGGTCTCCGATGGGTGACATCTCTAGTAGAGCCCATGTCCCTTTTTGGCATTGGACCAGTCTCATTTCTGGGTAGTCCACAGCCCAGTGCAAGTAAATGGCCAAACCTCAACCTTGATGAACTCCGTTCCTCTACCTTCCCCTCCCACTGGGACCACAGTGTGTGTGCTGTGTGTGTGCATACACATACATGGGATACACTCGTGTCTTCATGATTCCTTCAACTTTTGCTCCTACTGTCCTTCCTTACAGCAAGAACTGCCTTTGATACCAGAGATGTTGACTTACAACATGGGAAGTTGGAGCTCAGGGTTGCCTGTTCTGAGCTCAAAATTCATGTGTGGTCGGCAAAACCTCACTCCCCTGATGTTCCCAGTGGGGCCGGCCATGCCACCTTAATGGGTGACATCTACCACCACTCTAAAGTGCTGGAGAGATCCTTCCAGAATCCTTTCTTCCGTCCCCAATAGCGCCAGGTAACCACAGTCATCTGTGTTTTCACAGGAGGCTAGTGAACCTTCCACCCCACTCTATACAAGATAGAAAAAGAGCGCAAGTGAGGCACCCAGTGCCTCCAACAGTCAGTCGCTACCCAAGTTCAATTCACGAGGGGAGAACGTAATTGTGATCATCTGTGCACATATTACCTTCCTGTCTTGTCTTCCTGGAGCTGGGTGCTTGGGACGTCCACTCAATTCATTTCATAATTCACTTCTTTTACACGACTCACATCTGCCTCTCTCCACCGGCACTTCTGCCAAAGACAGTGTGTGCATGGCGGGGGTGGGGGCACACTCCCAGGACTCTTCGGTCTATACCCCCGATTGAGACCGATGTTCAGGAAACGCAGAATCAGGATTCTAACCCTTGTCTATTTCCTTCTCTTTCACCTAGGAGAACCAGGACATCCTGGTGGTCCAGGGAAAGATGGAATGAATGGAGAGAAAGGAGAACGAGGTCAGAAAGCGTGTTCCGTTTCACCACCCTCTAATTCTGAGCCGTCAGTGACTTAGGCATCTGGCGCTCGCCAAGGACAAGTAGCCGTTGTAGCCTCTGAGGATGATCCAGCAATAAGGACGGCGCGGCCCTTGATCTCTAGAAGTTCATGAGTCTTTTTCTGTCAAGGGTCAGATGGTGAATAATTTCAGCTTCCCGGGCCATATGGTCGCAGCCGTAGCGAAAAGCAGCCATAGATGCGACGTAGGTGGGGCTGTGTTCCGGCGAAACTCCATGAAAACTAAAAGCTGGATTTTACATAATTTTTCGGCATTATTTCTAGGGCAGAATTTTATTTGTGACCACTTAAAAATGCAAACCATTCGTCGCCCGTGGGCCGGATAAAGACAGGCGTGAGGCTGGATTTGGCTCACGGGCCGTACTTTGCTGAAGCCTGTTTTGGTGGGTGGACGCTGGGGAATGATGCTAAAGTTTGACTCCAGGCCTCTGGCAACAGTGCACGAGAAGGTGGCGCTGGAATTGGGCCTGGGAGGGGGAGGAGGGCTCTGCCAGTTGTGACCGGGGGGGGGGGGGGGGGGGGG